AGAAGCATGCTGTGGATCTACAGAAATGGTATCAGCAAGTACAGTCATAGCAATGGTGTATTCCTCGTTACGTATCAACAAAGAAGTTGATGGTTTTCGCCGACGTCAGTATCTCGGCATGGTCGAGCAAACTTTTTGGGGAGCCATATGGGTCTACTGATAAACAGGTTTCGTCGTTTAGATATTTGGGATCAGCAGACGCCTTTTCGGCAGCATCGACTAGGTGGAGCGTCCCGAAAAAAGAACTGTACGCGTTGTTCGAGGCGGTGCAGTGAGTCGAGAAGGTCCGGTCGGCCAACGAGAAGGTGGACCTTGGGTTGTCTACACCAGAGGGAAACACTGAGGAGTGGCCTGGGCTCGTCTTTTCCGTGGACTTGACTATAACGGTATGGCGGCTTCGTGGGTCGAAGAGTACTGCAATACGTAAACGTCTCAGCAAAACAGAGACGAGTTGCTTGGACTACATAGTGGAGGTTTGCGTCAAACTAAATTCCGAGATTATTCACATTGCGTCAGAGCTAAATCAGATGGAGCACCACGGGATCATCTCGAAGGATCGGTGTCGATAACCATGGAGCAGGTGCAGATTTGGCGAAGCGGCGACACGTTGGTTTCGTAAAAATACAGACTTGAGTCAAATGGCTACGGAGCTATCTCACATGCCATAATATCAATTTAATTAGCAACAATGATAACTCAAACACCTAATCTCAGCATCATACATCTATCCTCTGGCCGTCCTGCCTGGCGTTACTCACTGGATCACTTCGCGCACGCCCGATAAGAATAGCAGATCATGTCGGTGCCGCGACACGCCTCCCACTCGGAGATGTTTCCAGCGCTATCTTCGGAATCGCCACTATCCCACTGATCCTCGTTCAGTCTCAATATTACAAATGCGCTCTGGCCCGGATCCGCACCGTCCCAACATATGAGTACCTTCTCTACCAAGTGCTTTTCTACAGTACCCCAGTGCAGCTGCTGTGTGCCATCGCCGTGTGTGAGCTTACATCGAATCCTCATACCTGCTCTGTTCGGCAATGTCATCGACTCATGGTCTCTTCGCTCTTGCAGTGGACATAAATTGAAGTGATTCTCCTCCGTTAAGTGCTCACCTTTACTTCCGACGATCCTGACTTTCTAGCGACGAGTGCTCAGAACTCGTACCACGAATCCAGTTCTCCACAGCACGCTGTGCTTCTTCGTTGGTTGGTATATCATGACTGGATCTCCCACTCGGGATGCCAAGTCCTTACTTACTGATGGCGTTCGTCCCAGTGACTCTAATACCTTCCTGCGTTTCTCCGGCCAAAAATCGCCGCAGATTCGCTTCCCTACGACGCTGCCATTTCCCTCCGACATTCTCCCCTACCTGCTGGGTGCTATCCAACAGCCCAGCTCCGCCTCCCTCCCTGCGGATGTAACCAAATCTGAGATCATCCGCTGTGAATGCCTTGACATATGCTTGGTCACTGACATCCGTCGATTATAAGGAAGATTTATTGAGTGTTCACGCGATTTTATCCGCCATATCCTGTTTGAGTGCCGCCATAGAGCCTCCACTCCAATCCGACACCTCATGTTGTCTCGGAATTGTTCTGGCCGCTCGTGCTGCATTCCTGTGATGGGTTTCCGCCGCTGTAGTTCACGGTGCCCTGGGATTGACTGGAACGAAATGAATGTTCCATCCCGCTAATTCAGGATCCCTTGCCACTGAGTCCCTGGCAATCGCATCATCGGCTACCACCACTGCGAATCCGCCTTCTCTCCTCTGAGCTCTTCTGATCACTGCCACAATACTTCAGGAAGTCTGAACTGGTACGGTGATCCACACCACGCTATACGTCATACACAGACAGATAGAGAAGACCCGATCCCAACGTAATGGCATCCATCGACACAGCATAAAATGATTCCTTACCTGCTCTCAGTAGATTCTCTAGTGAAAGATCCGAGATACCCGCCCCTGAGAGCTCCGGCGATATTCTCCACTCTTGCTTGGCATTCTTGAGCCGACAAGTAACACACACCGCAAGCTTATCATTCGCGTTAAGTCGCTTCAATGACGGTGCGAAGAAACCAAACTCTATCGCTCTTTCTACACTGGCATTCCGGTTTGCATGCTGCAGCTTCCTGTGAGCAATATGAATGAGTAATCGCCTGGAAGTTTCAGGCTGAAAGGGTTTCAGGTTGAGAGCCATGCTCATCCTGGTACATAAAACCCCCAACTACGCTTAGCCCCATCTACGCCATTGAACAGATAGTACGCTATGCTATCATCATCAATCCTCATGCATACCAATGATCGGAGTGCCTTGGCGGCCATTCCATCTACCAACCCAGCTGCAACGATCGCGAAAAAGATATCTTGTCTTCTTCCTCTGCTGCTGGGTACTGCACATCAAAAAGTAGATACACCGCAGCCGCTCTTCTCCACAAGATGAAGGAGAAACGTAGGGCTTTCCATACTTGAGGAGCCGCATCGACATCATACGATACCAACGCCAACTTATCCGCAAGACTACGGCATTTCCCTCCTCTCCGACCGTGCGATGATGTTTCCTCCGGAGCATAACACAATCAGTCGGCTGAGCTGGGTAGTTCTCCTAGTCTGCCCACAAAATCATCCACCGCCTGCGCCACGCTGAGAGGTTCTAGATACTCAGCCACATAACGGATACCATATCAAGAGGAATAGGTGATGCTCGTAACCGTAACGGTTAAACCGTTTCAAAGATACTCGGATAAGCGCCCATTCTGACCGCTCTCAACCGTGCCAGTTTCTTAAGCAATTTATAACAATCACCGTATTACGCCACGCTACTTATTTATCCTCGAGCCAACAATTTCGGCAGTAGATCCGAAGTATAGAATTTTAGGAGCGAAAAGGACGACAGACCCAGGAGCGGGACGCACACACTTATGTTAACCGAATGATAGAAGAGCGAGGCGAGATTGCATACCAACTACTAAGCTGGCGGATGAGAGCCGCACAGCTATCACCTAGGCGGCCGAAGTATACCTCACCTTGTGGCTTGAAGGAGAGACAATCACTGCTGGACCTCACATGGTCCCAGTGTTGTACTCAAAGCAGGTAGAGGATAAGGTCGGTTTGCTAATAGGCAGGGATATTGGCAGCAGAGTGGGATTGCAGTTGGACCTAGCAACGGGAACGGTGTCTCGATCGAAAAGAACTATCAGCATGGATAGAAGAAAAGTGGTGAATGATTGTGCAGTAGATGCCATTGATGTGGTGAGGTACGTGCGGGACAATGTGATAAGATATCTTGATACTCCGGGAGAAGGACAAGTAGGAACTCAACCATTACCTCAAGGAGAGACTAAGATTATTTTTCCAGTGCTTCCACCACAGGAACGGGAAGTCGCCAGAGTTGCTGTGTCGACGCTTGTGGGAAAAAGGGACCTGGAGGTTGAGGGCCTCCGAGAATATAGTGTCTTTCAGGAAGTTGAGAGGAGACAGCCGAGCAGACTGCGAAGGGCAGGAAGCGGTGGTGTATATAGATCTCCCGAAGAGAGACGGTAAGGCGATGAAGGAACTCCGTGTACCCAGATATGAGAGGGCTGCGTACGATAAGCTCTCGAAGACTCATCAACGGGTGTACCAGGATCTGCTTCAAGAGTTTGTAGCGAGGGTGGTGGATAAGGAGATCGGAGCTGAAAAGCGAAGAGCGCTCTCAAGAGAGAAAATGCTTGCCAGCATCTCCCATCTATCTCCCACAGCTAGAAAAGAAACCACGACTTGTCTTGGATCGTACAGCAGTCAATGCGAGTTTGGGAGGAGTCTCACCGTTACGGCAGGCAACGTCGGATATACTCATTGTGGTGCGACTCAACGGTGCGGATATGATTGTTGCACATCTCCAAAAGGCTTATTATAGATGCAGGCTCTTAGCGCACTGGGTGTTGCTTGCTATCGTGATAGAGGAGTTTGTGTCGGATAGAGTGGCCTTCGGGCTGCATTTCGGAGCTGGTTGTCCCCAGGGGGCAGTGAGGGAGATAGTTGCAAGATGATACTCGTTGTGGTGGCTGTGCAAGAGTCGAAAAACCGGATTTGCTAGGAACGCGTGGAGGGGTGTATAGCGGGCCGAAGGCTCGCGATTTCCCAAGTTCCAACCAGCTTATTTAATATGACATACGTTGGGCCCGGAAAGGACATACGTTGGGCCCGATGGGCCAACATTCAGTCTGCTAAGCTGTCAGAAAAGTTGAAAAGGAATCCTGAGACCTATGGTCAGTGTTGTAAGCAGCTTGATATGCTGGTGCAGCGGGGCTACTCTCGAGAAGCTTCGGAAAAGATAAATCACGCATACGGTCTCGTCGTCGTACGAAAAGCCACATTTTCAACAACTCCTTTACGATTAGTTCTGGACGGCTCCATCTTGCGGGGCTATGTGTATCTCGGTGTTATATATGATCGATCGGTGGTGTCACCATTGTTAATTATCCGTCGCTATGCGTACTTCACGATAGCTGACTTGGAGAGGGTCTTACTCCATGGCTATTGTCAGCTCTAATTGTGGAGTGGGGGGGCAGGTGGTATATGTTACTTTGGGCCGTCATGAGCCTTCCTGCTTCTCCGTCTACGTTGCAGATCTCCATCTAAGAGTTCGACAGTGAAGTTGTGCCTGAGCTCGATATCGGCCCCCACTGTGGCCGATCGTTCATGGATGACATAGCTCAGGGTGCAGAGACCAGCTGGCATAGGGATATGTTGGCAGATGGAGTTCATCGAGTGGTTGGCAGAAAAAGCTTCTCCGAGCTGGAATCAAAGCGCTTGTAGAACAGAGTTAAGGGTACCGACTCCTCAGAGGACACAACTGCCACCCTCTTTGGTGTTCAGTGGGATCCGAAAGAAGATTGTCTAGTAATCGTCCCTGCTCCTTCCTTGGAGGGCAAGGCCTCGGGGAGATGCACGCTCTATAACGTTGCGATCCTATATATCATGGCTAAATTCTCACTTCGACCCCTCGGGTCTATACCTAGAGGATGCCAGGGCTGGTAGATTGTTGATGCGTGCTGGGAAGAACATGGCCATCCTCGGCGACTTTGGCTATCAACGCCTTGCCCTTGACCTCGTCGTTATATTCCACAACTGCTCCAACCACCTTTTCGGCTTTCTGCCTCTGGCCTTTCTCGCTACTACGCACAGGTTTCCAGTCATCTGGTTGGAAAGTCTTCTTTATCTCCTGCTCGTTGAACTCTTTGACTGTGACAACAAACGAGGCTTTAAAACCTTTCGCTCATGACTTTGGGGGATGTGGAGAAGGTGCACTACCCGATCTTTGTGATGCCGCCATCCCAACCTCCTGCTGACTCGTCGGCTGAGCTATTAGCGCCACCTTGTCCGTCTCTCTCCTGGTGGTGTCCTCAGAGGTTCTGCTGACATCTCGGATGATGTCCACAACTGTGATACCGCTCATACTCACATCTCTTACCTTCAGAGAGAAGGATAAAAGTGTCTCCTAATCCTCCTCACTGACGTCTCTGTAAGAGCCACGCTATGAACTCGCCTCTTCACCTTCAAGATCACTTTCCCCGCCACCCCACATGGCAAGGTACTTACTATCGCTCTGACCACCCTGAACGTCTCACTTTTATCCTTATACGCCTCATAACACCGAAGGACAATCGTCTCAGCCGAGCCGAAGAACCGATCTACTTTACCGGGACCCCCATAGCTGAGCTTTCCTAGTGACTCTCGGATGTTCCCAATTATCGCCGTTCTCTTACAGAGTCGACAATGTAGCTGATCCTCGATTATCTCCAAACAATACTTGGGTATCTAGTAGAGGCCTTGATTAAATTAAACTGCTAAACTTTCAAATAAACCGGACATAATATTAATTTTCTTGGTATTTTATTAAAGCCATGGGAAAAACGTTAATTAAAAAAGTAAAACATTAACCAAATGAGTAGAAAATTAAATTTGTCGGTAAAAAATTAATTTGAGCTGGAAATGCTGTAGTGTCGCCAGCTCCTCAGTGGTCTCCTGGTCCTCTAGTACGATGATGCATTCCATCGCCGCTTGGACCTTCTGAATTTTGCCCCTCAATCTGCCTCGTAGACTCTCCTTTTCGAAGCTCCTTCTTGTAGGATTCTTCATCCTTTACGAGTGCTCCCATGGTACTACTAGCCGCTTCGGATTTACTATAGCCGTCGTCCATCTTGAGTGTCGCACCGCC